CCACCCTCCTCGGTGACGCCCCCCCCAGAGGCCTTAGTGGCTGCCTCTTCAGATGCGACCTCGATGACAGGTTCAGTAGCAGCCTCTGCTACTGGTTCTGCAGGAGTGGGGGAAGACTTGGAGATGACCTCTGCTGCCTCTTTTATGGGGGTGGTTTCAGCTGCTGGAGCTGCAGATGAAGAGGTCAGGAAGAGAAAGGCATGAATGCACCCTTCTCTGACAGACTTGTACTTGTTATGTGCGTTAAGATAACTGACAAAACGTCTGGTCATAGCTGGAGCTACAGATATCAGTTGTCAGGGTGGATACTGTCTTATGCATCTAATGTTAAATGTCCATGTTTGAACCTGGATGAACTGTTCATGCACTGGCGGATGAGACATGTATATAATGAGGAGTCAAATCCTTCTTCATCCCCTCAGCTACTTCTGACAACCTGAACTTTAATGGCTGTATCTATACTTCATCTTCTTCCATCTTTACACCACAGACATTTGTCCTCGCAGTGAGAGGTGCCTGTTATTCTACCTTGTTATTAAAATGAACATATCTGGTATAAGAAAAAGACATTCTACTGATGAGAGGTTTATCAGTTCTATATTGTAACTGTAAGGTGTGTATTGTATTTGCCTTTAATGTGTCAAACTGTAATTCATCTGACATTTTCATGAGCTTACCATTGCCTTCCATATAGTGTATTCAGCTGATTTAAAACAAAATATAGACAACTGAACTATTGAAAAATAGTAGTAATGGCTAATTCGTCAAGTATATTTGAAGCAACACAGATATGTAACATAACACCAGGCTAAAATAAGATCCTACAGAACAGTGTATCACAAAATATGTGACAGAAATCTTGACCTGACAGTAAAGGTTATTACTGCCATCCCGTGTCCAGCAGTTCCATTTCTAATACCGTCTTTATCACACTTAAGCCTAACACCCATCTAACTCATAATACTGTTTTCTTTAGTCTCATGTAAATGAAGGTTAGCTGTGAGTTCTCACGGCCACACAAACGCAACAACCCACACAGTGCAACACTGAATTGCACTGCAATGACATTCAGTGATGTGTGCTCAGATTAACGTGCCAGGACAATAGGATCCTTGATCACTGCCACTTTAATCACATCAGCGTGTGCATCAAGATGTTTCTATGACTTTGTTCCTGGAAATTTGTGCTTGAATACACAATGCAAACACTGGTGAGCTTAAATACCAATGGAGTACACTCCCCATCGCTGGAGGGAGCATAGCTTTAAACTCTATTTCTGATCAAAAACTCTTCCAAGCTGCACAAACACACCAGTGACAGCAGCTGGCTGTTCTGGGCTCAGAGCCATGATCTCTCTGGGCCGAACAGATAAATCACTTGCTGACAGAAATCAAAACAGACAGGCAAGGTAAAGCTTTTAAGAGTGATCATTCTACCGTGTTTGATATTTACTGTGGGTGGTGTAGCCAGACCCATCTCAAAAACACACAAACCGTTTCTGCTTTCTGTTTCTCAGATGAAACAGTACAGAGGCTGTTTATTACCTCGTTCGACGATGCTGAACCATTTTGGTCCAGTTGTTAAGATTCCTCCAGATATATGAATATGGAGCAAAATGAAGGCCTTACGTTTCACATTACACATATCTAGAAGCCAAAGATGTTTGCCAACTGAAACCTGGCATTCTGACCTTTGAGGCTGGCAGATTAAAAACATTAACAAGGAAAAAAATTATTGAGTGAACTCTGTGATCTGGGAAAAATCCCACTTTCTTCTCTAGTTCTGTGAATCCTCCATGACATGTTTTAACAAACCCCTAAATTATTCTTGTGTGAAAGTGATTGTACCTGCATAATTCATGTACTTTGTATTTAACCATTCTAAGCAAATGCTACTTAGCAACACTAACATGCTAAACTAATGACATTATAACTGTTAAACACTTGTATGTTTACACTGATATGGTAAGCATCTTAGCATCCTGAGGTATTCTGCTAGTACAATAATCAACCATTTTTAATTTACTTGCATGAAATTAGTTTCTTTTGGTACTTATTTTGGTACTTTATGTAGTATTTTTGGACACGTGGTGAATTCTGCAGCTGGTTTATATTAATGTGTGTTTTTTTTGCACTACACTGTGTGTGTGTGCGTGTGTGTGTGTGTGTGTGTGTGTGTGTGTGTGTGTGTGTGTGTGTGTGAGAGAAACTCCTTTTTTGCACTACACTGTGTGTGTGTGCGTGTGTGTGTGTGTGTGTGTGTGTGTGTGTGTGTGTGTGTGTGTGTGTGAGCCACTGACCCTTTGCTGCGGAGCCCATGTTGGCTGATTTGCCCTTGTAGCACTCACTATCACCACGAACCGTCTTGTAAGCCTAAGAGAAGGGCAGACATTTGCTTATTGCTTTCCACCACACATCAAATGATAACAGTATACGGTGAGAACAGTGTTACAAAACACCACCTCACACTGGAATTTTTTCTATGAACCAACACAGCTGATATACACTTGTGCTTTGCTAGGAGCCTGAGAGTGAACAGAGAACAAGTCTGCTGAGACAATGGCTGTGCCTAGATACAAGTGTCAGAATGTGTCAGAAGGCAAAACAGAATCTGCTACGTGACTTCCAATGTCTGAGCCTTGGTGGGTCTGTCCTGACGCTGCATGTTAACTGGCTCCAGCAAAGACTTCACACTGAAGAAACTACACAAGCATGATCGGTTAAAGGACCCATATTATACAATATTCACTTTTAGAGCATTTTCTGACATTCACATACTGTAGGTCTGTGGTGTGTGTAGAGACACACAAAACATGAGAAAAGAGCAGTCCCTGACTGTTTTGCTCTTTCCGCATTTGTTAAAAGCCCTGCTTGAATATGCTATTCAGATTTGTCTCTCTTTATGACCACATACAAAATGATGCGGCAGTTCATTTCATAGATCCTCCTCCCATTAAGATCTGTTTTGGTGCTACCAGTCCTCCACTTTGATTTTCTGGCTAGAACAGCAGACAAACAGCAACATGGCACAGCTCAGAGAAAAGCATGGATTCTTGGCCTTTGGTTGCACAAACAAGCACAAAAGTCTCTACCTACTTCCACCCTCAGAGCCAGCAAAGACACAGTGGATATCACATATTTACTGTAGAAATATTCCTGAAGATATCCCTAAAATGTTGCATGCTATGTGCTAGTGCTAATCATTTCACGTTGGAGTGCTTTCTCAATGACGGTCAGTACAAGACTGGATTTAGTTCCAGCGCTGAAGACTGGAGCTGTCTGGAGTCTGGAAACACGACTTCGAGTTGGTAAGCAGCTCCTGTCCAACGCTATGGGAGCTGACCAATCAAAGCAGACTGGGCTTTTAGTGAAGGGGGCCAGGAGCTAAAACAAACCATGTTCACAAAGAGGGAAAAAGGAGGTTTGATGCTACTTGTGCTCTATAGGAATCTTATGAACTTTATAAACATGCAAGGGTGTAAATGTTTTCTAGTAGAACCTTTAAATAACAACATAAAGCTTAAAATGAGTATAATCTCTGACCTTTAACTGGTTCATTTTATGAACAAAAGTTTCTTTTACTTATGTACAGGGATGTATTACCACACAGACCTACTGGGCACAGGTCCAGATGCCCATGAGGTCAGGGGCCCTTGGCCCTGCACCTGTATATGAGGTGGGATATTTCTAGATTGAAAGTCATAGAGCTCAGTGAAAAGACATAAAACAAAGAGACACAAAAATGATAAAGACATGACAAATGAACAGGATGGAAAATGACTATAAAACAACCACAGAGACACAAAACGATGACAAAAAGACTAAACCCTAAAGACAACACATATAAAATGCATAAAACCCACATGACCCTGCCTATATGTGGGTCTGGCGTAGGAGGGGTGGAGGGCCTGGAACCTGTCAGGGACCCGTTGTCTCATAATCAGTTCACACTTGTGTGCTAACACATCTATATTCTTGTGGATGATTTTCATTTACATAAAATGTAAAAGTATTTGTCAGTAGAGTGGCAATAGATGTAGGTGCCACTTCTATTTCAAATAACTGTACTTGACATTAAAAAAATCAAAAAGTGACAGACCTGCATGATCTAGAAAAAAAATTTCATTTGTTTCTATTTGTAACAAAGATGCATTTTGCACTTAAGGACCTTTACCAGAGAAGAAAGCAACTTCATAAACACTTCCATGTATTTCCAGCAAAAAACAACTAAAAAAGGAGAGAGCATCATGACATCTTCTGTGTTAAAGCACTCTCTAACATCTACTATCAAACAAACACTCATCCCTGATACTCAATGACAGATTCTGGGGGGAAATCACAGCACAAGTGTTAAACACTCACAGGTCAGTGCTACAAATCTGAAAGTAGAAAGGAGAAATGTTGAATGCTCACGTAAACAACTGCAGCAGTGAGGCCTCCTCCGCACAAAAGAATGTACGTCTTGTTGGTGGTGTGTCCAGGAAGCCTGAAGGCCATCTGTCGCACTGGGGCTGCTGAGAGGCAGGGCTACATGGTTAGTGTATGAACCAACATGGAATTTTATATTTACTCATATTTTAGTAGATTTGCACTTGAATTTAGTTAAGTGCACCTTCCATTAACCCCTGATTGAACACAAGCTGGACATTTGCTTTGTAGGACAAACCATAAACCTGAAAACTAAATAGAAACCCTATGATGTCGTTTAGGAAACTTTTGCTGCATCAGAAGTGCAACTTGGTGCACAGACCCATATATTCTGATCAGGATGTCTCCATCCCTTAATCCAGTTATACAGTGCAGCTCTGGCCATTTGTAGTAGAAGAGATGGAAGGATTTAGCAGCGGCCAAGCTAAACACCAACTTGTCCCTGACAGCACACACACACACACACACACACATACACTGAAACACTTCCGCTTTACAGTCTTTCACATTTACAACAAAACAAACAACTTTAGAATTGTCTGTCAGACTCATGAACAAGTTCCTCAACACATGACAGGACTGACAGGATTTGTTGTGTGCTGTTGTCGGGGTGGATCCATGAGTGTGGCTGGCTGCAGCTTTATTTTATTTTTATCTTTATTTTTTTTAATAAAGCCACAAAACCTGCCATCTTTATCAACTGCAGTCTTATGTTCAGTTTTTGTAACATCACTCCGGAATACAGGAAATTAAAGCAGCAGTTTACCCTCAGGCTAAATTCCACATACTCAGAACCCAGAGTAAAGGATGATCTGGGCAAGAATGCGTGAAAAGAAAAAGTGCCAACAGCAATATTGTACAATGTGTTCAAGTCTCAAATCCAACACAGTGTGCATCCAAACTCTCCAAATGTGGGCTTAAATGCAACTAATACTTGTGTTGATTTAGATGTAATAGATGTAAAGATGTACTGGTTCAGTATTTTAGGCTATATATAAAGTCAATGTCCTGGTACACTGACATGACATCCTAACATGACAAGCACTGCACTACAGCTTGAAGTGTAGTGCAGTGTAGCGCAAATCTAATACCATAACAATCATTGTACCTGTAAGACTTTGGACACTGGATAAGTCCTGTCAAATTTGGACAGTTTTAGTGTTCCTTAAATTGCTCAGATTAACTTTTCATCTGACCATACAGCCACTATTAAAAAGTCCCAGACAGAATAATAACCTGACTCACCATTTCCGGACACGAATCTGAAAGCTCTTCGTGCCAGGGGCCCGACCCTCTGCCATGCACGTCTGCTGAACATATTCACTGTGTTGTCAGCGGCAGGTGAACTAGTGTGTGTCCGTATGTTTCCTGTGTGTCTGTAAGAAAAATGACAAGGAGTGCTCAGCTGCTGTCCAGTGCTGAATGAGAGAAAGATCGACATCCCAATTCAAAAAACATATCATTGGCCTGCCCCCTGCAGGAGTTGAAGCAAAATAACAGCTGAACTTTTCCATCAGTAAGTATTTTGCTTGAATGTGTGATGCTACTGGTCTTCTGCTGAACAACAAATTATGCATATGTTTGCAGAGGTTGTGTAGTCCTCTCCAAGACTAGTAAATTGATCTGGATGTGTAAAATCTGTGGATTGTTCCTTTATATAGGTTTATGATGGAATTCACCTCTGTTGCAGAGTGAAAGATACTTTAATTTTCTATATTCTTTTGTTATTTTTGGTTCCCCCATTATATAGTACATTGTATTTTAAGTGTTGTTATGACAAATTAGAAAGAAGAGGAATGAAAGTCAGGCGTGGTAACACAGAGATGGAGGTAGCAGAGATGAGGATGTTGAGGTTCTCTTTAGGAGTGACCACGATGGACAGGATTAGGAATGAGCACATCAGAGGGACAGCTCAGGTCAGCTGTTTTGGGGACAAGGTCAGAGAGGCCAGATTGAGATGGTTTGGACATGTGCAGAGGAGGGATAGTGGTTATATTGGTGGACAGATGTTGGAGATGGAGCTGCCAGGCAAGAGGTCAAGAGGAAGGCCAAAGAGGAGATATATGGATGTGCTAAAAGAGGACATGAAGTTAAGTGGGGTGAGAGTAGAGGATGCCAAGGATAGAGTTGGGTGGAAACAGGTGATTCGCTGTGGCGACCCCTAACGGGAACAGCCAAAAGAAGAAGAAGAAGATTGCAAATTAGAAAAATTTGAAATTACTTCTATGAAACATTCTCTCTGCTCCCAATTATCTTTCCAGAGTGAAGAGAAAGACATCTACCAACTTGCTGGTGAATGCTGCACCAATGTGGCACTTGCATGTGCGGTGCACACACACACACAGCTGCTCATTCCTCTGGTGCATGGCAAGATCTACAGCGGTCTAAACCGTTTAGCAGGACACGTTTGCTGTCATCATGTGATGACATCTGAATCATCAATTAGACACCAAATGACATCATGTGATACACTTCCCACCACCCACACTGTTCAGTTGCACACAAAACTGGTGCATGACTGCTGTGTGATTTTACCCACAAAATTAACATGGCATCAAACTGAGTGTGTGAGCGCAGGCAGGTGGGCGCCTTCTCAATAACTGGTGTTCTGCTGAGTTAGGGTCACGACACTGACAAGGGTCGAGTTTGCTCCAGCATTCCAGAAACTCCCTCCCCATCACACACACTCAACACTCCATAACAGCTTAAGTTCACTCCAGTATCACCAGCCAGCAGCATGCTGACTACAACCAGACAACTCCATGTCAACATGTTGCCACCATCAGTGACCTCCAAGCACCACATAGTCTCCCTCAGCTCAACTTACAGTAGCAAGTAAGAAAGGAGCCAACCCTGGCCTCTCTTATGGCTGTGTTTATTTACATTTCTAATCATGCTTCTGAATAAAACTCCAGAAGATAAATGATGCAGAGAACAAATAACTTTTGTCTTAAATGTTTCTGACAGTAAAGACATAGTAGTAAAATCAAATAGTGATTTTAACTTTTTTTTTTTTTTTTTACCAAAATAACTTCATATCTACAGTTTTATATTTTAGTTTATCTGTAATTTAAAGATACAGTGCACGTTACACAACAAAGTAGACAACCTGAGTGTAGTCAAACCCTAAACATTACAGACACAAAGTCAAAAGTAAACCAGTCACTGCAGAAAGAGGCCACTAATAAGGTTTAGTCTTTTATTTTTCAACTACTTTATACAAGAAGATCAAAAATATACAGACATTCTCCATGTAGGACATTGCACTATTTTAGAGTATAAACATCGGAGCTCTGTGGGGTAGCACAGCAGCTGCATTTGAACCACACACTCAGAGACAACACTAAAATGGAACCTTCTTCTATGTGAAGAGGCTGACGCTCCTCTTTCTCAGCAGCAGGACCACAGGTCTTTCTCTGCTCTTTTCTTGTTCAGGAGTTTAAAGGATCCGCTGTACGACAGAGTGTTTGCTGCTGCTGCTGAAGTTTGCTTGTGTCTCTTCAGTTTGGCACCAACAGCAACAACAATGTCCTCCACTGAATGCTGCTGATACAGCACCTCCCCATCATCTCGCCGCCTAGTTCCACATGTGACCGGTGGGTTCTTGGCAGACGTCTCAAAAAACATCATGCCGTGAGCCTTAGAGAAGCTCATCGCCCGCTCCTGGCTCACCTGCCCCTCTGTCCTGCTGGGGTCACGGAGGTCACTCTTATTACCCACCAAGAACCTGAGCAGAGCAGGACAAATGCTGAAGAAAGGTGACATCAGGGTTTCACACAAAAAGCAATATGGTCGTAGGATGGTGACCGATCTGTTTTAAACAAAACAGCACAGTAACAAGACATGGATACAAAACATTTACAGAAGAATGCAGGGATGTTTTACACGTGGTTTGTGTGGGAAGGTGTGTTGTGTGTGTATGTTCATCTCTACACAGACTCTGGCAATAAGTTTAAAAAGTGGGAGGGGTAGTAGAGAAAGAAAGCAAATTATAAATAAATAAATGAATGGGTAAAGAAAAAAATAAGGTGGTTTAAACCAGAAAATGAATAATAAAAACAGGGAGGGGGCCGGTAATATATCCACCCTGAACCACCAGAGCAAGGGGAGAAAGAGCCACTGTTAGGGAGATCCAGAGTGGCCCAGCAGGGCAGGGTCGGCCAGGGCAGCGATATTGTTGTTTTATGGTCATAAAGGTGGACCATTGCTCTGTTTTATTGTTTACCATGATATACTGTTGGAAGCAGTCATGCAGGATGGTGACTGATCAATAAAGTTCCATATGATTAACTGAAAACCTCCAGTCTTTTGTCTTTTCATGAGTAGAAGTAAATGCAGAGAGCTGATGCACCAACCTGGGGATGTCCTGTCCGAGGGAGTTCTGCCTGCACTCCTCTATCCAGGCAATCAGGCCGTTGAAGCTGCCGGGACAGATGACATCATATATGAAGAGCACAGCGTGGACATTTCGGTAGTAATGCTGCACCATGGACTTACGAAAGCGCTCCTGTCCTGCTGTGTCCCACAGCTGGAGCTGATGATGAGGAGGGAGATATGAGAGAAGACAGTGAGACATGGACATGTGGCTCTGCCGGATGGCACAGAGGAGGAGGTGGTAGAGGCAAACACATGAGAAAGAGGAAATGAAGGACAAGGAAGGCACGGAGAGGAAAAGAAATCATGTGTTGACTAAAGACCAGACTAAAACTCAGGCACGCACATTCACAGAGACACGCAATGTGTCATCACTAAGAAGGAACAAAAAAAAAAAAAAAAAATGAATAAACCAGTGGACCAGGCTTCATCGTATGTTTAGGTCTCAGATCTGAACCTGATAAATTCCTAGAAAACAAAAGAAAACTAACAGCAACCAGCAGGCACTGCATAACCTGGCCCTGCAAAATGTGATTATTAGGTCTATGCTCAATATGGACTTGGCCTCCACTTTGTAAAAACTGTAAACTGCTTGGAAAAGTAGCAAGTCCTGCTGTAGCATGTCAATCCTGGATTCAGAGGTGACTGACTCCACGCAACTTGCTTCTGAGGACTTAACACTTGACTGGGACTCATCACAGGGGCCAGAGACACACTGCCTTGAAGTTTTACTTATGATCTAACACTTTACATTTGAGCGTTTCCTGCATGATGTATCTTCAGTAAACATGAGGAACATAGGACAGGTGAATTCCCTTATTAATGTAAATGACCACAAAGCTCTCCTCTGAAGCCATAAACAAATCCCCCATCACCACTGACACAAACTTCCTCCATCATGTGGTCGTTTCAAAACACTCAGGAAATAGCACAGTCCCGCAAACACACGGGTTTAATACACAACAGTGACTTGATTTAACAGAGTCCATTCTTGTGTTTACATAATGCAGCCCAAATAAAACTTGACACACATTCTGAAAGATGAAGCACACATCAGTTGTGAAGTATTTGCTTCTGTTGATGGTAAATAACCTCGAACAGCCACCAGAGCCGAGCGTGTCACCGCCAGTCGGTGATGTGCGGGCTGCGTTAGCCCTGCAGATCATCTGCCATCCAAAGGATTCTGTCGTCCAGTGTTGGACAAAGCCCTGTGTGTTATTTCACTGCAGTGTAGGACATTACTGAAGGAGAATAAGAATATTTAGAGCAAAGATGGGAGATAAAATGTTTTCTAAAACGTGATCAAGTTTCTGTTTTTAAAAAAGCACTTTTTGCACATGACTCTCGGGGTGGTGTAGTGATCTTTGTGTTGCCGTGCTATTTTCTTAGTTAAACTGAATTTAAACGGAAGCCGATTCATAATTAAAGAAAAACCTAAAGATCTTTCGGTTTTATGAGCATCCAGTCTATGGAATGTTCTAAATACCTGACGTAAGGCTGATGTGCGTAAAATGACTGTTTGGTGCAGTCTTGCGCGCAGTTATGTTGGCTTCGCTATGTTTGCTTTAAATGATGGATTCATTTCACCACTTACTTTTATTTTCTCTCCATCGATATCAAGCAGCCTCTCGCGGAAGTCCACCCCGATGGTGGCCTCCACTCTGCTGGGGAACTGTCCGCCGCAGATTCGGTGTGTGAGACAGGTCTTCCCCACGCCGGAGTCTCCTATCATCAGCACTTTAAAGGTCCGATAGCGAGTCAGCAGCGAGGACACACTTCCCAAAGAGTTGGAAAATTCGAGAGATGACTCCATGTATAGTCGTGGTTTTAGAAAACAAAGCGAAAAGCGTCAAACGCGACCTCAAAGACAATGTCCAAAGATGTGGCGTCACTGGTTTAAATAAACAGACAAAAACTTTCTTTCGAGGGTTCAGTGCAACCTTTCCGCCTAGTAGTTCTTGCACACTGCACAGCTTTGAAGAAGAGGGAACTCCTGGCGTTTCCCTCTGGTTCTTTCACAACTTGGTGATGATTGGGTCCTGAGGGCGAGTTCCTCAAATCAACATGTGGCCTTACTTTGTTTCTACAACTTCCTTCACTTTTTAATTTGTGCCTTTGGTTGATATTATTCTGTTCTCACTAGAAATCAAGACATTTTTCCTCATTAAAGAGCAGAATTTTCCAGCACATGCTGAGCTAAACTTGCAAACACACTGGGTCGTCCTCATCCTCTCGCCTGCTGCTAGAAAAGCGTGCGTGCTGCTGCCTCCTGCTGGTAGATTTACTTCACGGCCATGCTTGTGTTTTCTTACTAGTCCTGCAGTACAGAACCTCTGTATCCTGTTAATATACCACGGACTCCTGCTGGTACTGCTCTCCAGTACTCTCTGTTGAGACTGTCACAGTCATTCCCACCATGTCTGCTGACACATTTTTACACACAGTGCTCCTGCAAGACTTTTTACATTTAGTTTGTGTGTGTGTGTGTGAGAGAGAGAGGGTGTGTCGGGTGGGTGTCTGCAGTCCAGTGTTCACTATTGTATGAAAGCCACGATATGCTAACCCCTGGACATAGGAATAAAGCTTACCTCTCACACTAAGGTGGCATATTTGAAACCTATTAAAGCACCAAACACTGCTTGAGGTTGTATGACGGAGATATTCACTCAGTAATTGACTACCATGAACCTGCGAACAGAGTTCCCTGCAGACCTCCCTCCTTCATGTTATTAATTCAGGATAAGACCTCAAACCTCCCAAATAACAACAACCTGCAGTTTCTTGTGGCAGCTACCCCCTTAACCCTCAGATGTTACTGTACTGAGAAACTTTTATAAACCATTACATTCTGGCTCTTTGAGAAAGTGTTAAAGTTCGTCTGAAATAACCAATGAAAGCTGTGTCACGGGACACTTAAGACCATATTTGTTTTGCACAGTATTTAGTTGACATAAGATGTGATTAAGGATAGGACATTTAAAGAATAGTGGGTATTATGTAACAAGTAAACAGTTGGATATTTTAGATAAACCCTTTTCTGATGTATCTGTCTAAAAATCATTTTAGTAGTTCAGTCTGGGCCTTCTGTCAACCCTGTGAACTGTTGTGCAACCTCACACACTCACTAAGGCTTAAGTAATCACAATCACTGGGGATTGGGTAACCAAACACTGAGAACTGTGTGCCTTAACCATTACCACTTAAAAGTGTTAACTCACCGAAATCACAGGTGTGTCAATAACATCAAACTTGACTCAGTAACCACAGAGAGTATTAAACCTTTTCAGGAATTTTATATAGAAGCTTAACAGAGCTACAGCAAAGCAACAAGCAGTAAAATATAAACCTTAAAATCATCAATAATCGGCTTCCAATCTAAATAAATCAACAACTACTAATTCTAAACATAAATTTAAAATGATCATACTGATTAAAATCATTATGGTTGAGCTAAGCTCTTGATCTGAATAAAAGTCAAAGGTCTCACGTCACCGATCCTCAGCTGGCTCTAGGTGGGGTGGTGGCAGATTGGGCCATCGTTTGTTCCTCTTTTTCCTTTTTGCCATGATTCAAGCTTTCACAAGGGAAAAGAATTTACAAACAAAAATATCAAAGCTCATCCAGTTCAATCCCCAAAACCCTCAAAGAGAGGAATAGGACAAATTCAGATAAACAGTGTTTTTCTTGGTCAAATCTTATGTGACTCAGGAAAGCATAAAAGACATGAAAATATCTATAATCAGTCTCCTTTTGGTCCAAATCTTCATAAAGACATGAAAATGTCTAAAACTGTCTTCTTTTCAAGCCATCCTTTCCCCACCAGGCCAGGTGGATTGTGGCTTTTTGTTAAAATTCATTTCTTCACCAAACATCTTTGAAGCAGGAATTCAGTTTCCCCGGTGAACTGTGAGGCTCTGCCACAGTTTCATCGTCCCTCGTCGGCATGCATCCTCCTCCTCTGACAGGCCGAATGCCTGTCCAAGCACGCAGAAAAGGGTGCTCTCTCTCTCCCATGACAACATCCATCCCCCCTCACAGGCCAAGCCTGCAGGGGAGCACCCCCAGAGGGGCTCCTCTTCACTGACTGCCTCCTGCAGTCCTCGGTCTCCTGGAAGTCAACCGGACAGAGCCTCCGGCCGCAGCCGTGAAAGGGCTCTCCATTCCTCTTTTTGCCTTGGTTTTTATAGGGTTCTGGTCAGTGGTTTTTGTCCTCTCATCCAACCAGATGCCGCAGTTTGCAGTTGATACCTTATTTGGCATGCAAAATCATATTGTTCTGAAGTATTGCATATTTTTTACTGTCAGTCCATGTCAGTCCATCCCTACTGCCCGGAACCGGCCTCTGCCCCACTGTGATCCATTAAAGAAAAATAAAATTAAGCAAAGTAAATTAATAAATTGGGGAAAGAGGAAAAAAGAAACAAAAGGAGAGGAAGAAAGGTAAATTAAAAGAGTAAACAGGGGGTTGGGGGGGGGTTCAATCAACAAAAGGAGTATACTGATGATGGTCCACCACCACCCGGGGAGCTCCAGAGTGGCTCAGCCAGGACAGCAGCGTCTGTGATTTATGGTCAAGTTAAACCTTTCCTTTGTTTTATCATGATTTACTTTGATTGTTGAAAGTGAAACAGCTCAGGGTTGGCCCTTGACCTTGACAGGAGGCCTGACCCACTGCATGGTGTATTCCCCTCCTAAACAACTCCCAGACCCTGAGGAGAGAACTTGTCTAAGGGGGTGTCAGCAGTCCACTGATGCTATGTGTGGTTAAGGGAAAGGAAGCAGGGACCTGGCCTTCCTCCCCCTTGCTGTCCACCCCAGAGACCCCAAACTGCACAACCCAGCTGCTGGGGACAGGTCACTTTGTTGATGATAGAGAAAGATTAGTCTGGTCTGATTGATTAGAACCACTCCATTACAACACAGCAGAAGATGTCAATCTGATTAAACTGGCACTATGGAGGCCTCAGCTACACAACTGTTCTTTAACTCAGTCCTAGAATATGTAGAAGAACTTAAGACAATTTTAAGAAAAACTATGGAAATTATTCACATTGATTTAATTAAAAAAAAAAAAAAATCACCTTTACTTTTCCATACTGTATATTTGAAAGATTTGTGGAGGCAATCAACTGTTTAGATTGGCTTTAAAGTCAGCATTGGGTGGGTTGTATACATGTCCACTCTTCAGTCACAACATTAAAACCACAGACAAGTGAAGTGAATATTAATCTTGTTAAAATGGCACCGGTCAAGGCCTGGGATATATTAAGCAGCAAGTGAATGTCAGCTCTTGAAGCTGATGTGTTGGTAGCAGGAAAAATGGGCAAGAGTAAGAATCTAAACAACTCTGGCAAGGGCCAAACTGTTGATGACTGGGTCAGAGCATCTCCATAACATCAGGTCTTGTTGGGTGTTTCCGGTCTGCAGTGGCCAGTACCTACCAAAAGTGATCTAGGGAGGTACAATGGGTGAGCTGGCAACAGGGTCACAGGTGTGGTGAGTGAAGTCTAGTCCAGTCCCACAGAAGAGATACTGTAGCACAAATTGCTGAAAAACTTAACGCTGGTTCTGACCTAAAGGTATGAGAACACAAAGCACTGTAGCTTGGGTGTATGGGGCTGTGTAGCCACAGACCTGTCAGAGTACCCATGCTGACCCCTGTTGACCGCTGAAAGCACTTGAGCAGCAAAACCAAAGAGCACTGGAAGGTGGCCAGGTCTGATGAATCACATTTTCTTTTACATCATGTGGACGGCCAGGTGTGTGTGTGTGTGTGTGCGCGTCACTTGCCTGGGGAAAAGATGACACCTGGATGCACTATGGGGAGAAGGTGAGCTTGCAGAGGCAGTATGATGCTTTAGACAATATTACACAGGGAAACACTGTGTTCTGGCCTCCAAATTCCCCAGATCTCAGTCCTGTTGAGCATCTGTGGGATGTGTTGGACAAACAAGTCTGATCCATGCCCCCCTTGCAGCTTACAGGATTTTAAAAATCTGCTCCTGACGTCTTGGTGTCAGACACCTTCACAGGTCTTGTGGAGTCCATGGCTCAACGGGTCAAAGCTGTTTTGGCAGCACAAGGGGGACCTTCATAGTATTAGGCAGGTGGTCATAATGTTGTGGCTGACTGGTGTACACAAGGTACAGTCTTATGCAAAAGTTTAAGACTACAGACCTCACCCACAAGCTGAGTCTAAACTGATCCAGCTCTGTCTGATCATAGAACAGTCACTAGCAACATACGAACCACCCAGTGGAGATTAACAGTAGATAGACATACAGATGCAAAGAACCATTTTCTTTCATTTGGTTTTAATAAAAAAAAAAAAAAAAAAAATTTCCAGACATATAATACATCATCTCAATTTTTGTCTTTCACATTAGAACCCAAATTAGAAAGTGGTAATAAAGGACTACTGGGGGGAAAAGGGACAACAGAAATAGTAAAATAAATTCCTGATGCTCATCCATTTACTTGTATCATTTTCACATCTCTCCCCTTGGGCAACAGGCTTCGATGCTGAACTCCGACCATTTGAGGAGCCATTTTCATTAGTGGAGAAGAGTCCTCTGAAGTTCCCACATTGACTGCTAGACTCCCTGTGTATATGCAGACAAACCCATTTCTAACAGTGGCCACACCAGCAACACAAGTGATTCTGCCAGGAGACTCAGCATAACAACTTTGACCAGATCTAGAAACGGTTGTCATCAATACAAGTTTCATTTATCAAAGGAGGACAGGAAGATGTCAATGGTATTGCTTGAATCTATCCAGCTCTCTCAGAACTATGTAAAAACATTGAGTAGCAGTGTATTTGAAATGGAGCACAACACACAATTTGTACGGTTTTTATTCTGTGCTACAAGGTGCTCCATAATAACAGACAGAAGTTTTACAAATTCCCAGGTTGAACCTGGAACAGCGAGGGAAGCAGTCTGATGAAGAAAGTGTTCACATGTGGCCACTTTCTCCTGTAGAGATGGGGCCATTGTCTCACACTCCACTGCACTGTTACATGTAGGTCTGTGGTTTACTGGAGCGTTACAGCAGATACAAATACACCTGTGGCCGCTGGAAGTCCTCTGTGTCGACTTCAGGTCCTCAGTAACTCTTCCTGCTCAGCTTCCTACAGATCTGTCAGATCAGATCCATTCAGCTCAGCCTCCCGTCCCACAGTGACAGCTGAGTTTTATTTTTATTTAAATGAAATTTTCTTTTAAAATAAGGGGAACACAAGATGCGATAGGTGTGTTGGAGCAACACCAAGTCAAACTCAAGTTGCTGCTGTCACCGTTATCATCTCCAAGTCCATGTCAGTCCATCA